TATATATAACTTCACTCTGAGATTATCAAATACTCAAATTGATTATCTAGTCCTTCCACACTCCAAGTGACATAACATCCATTTTATACACAGATGTCATCCAACAATCCTGTGTTAAGCGTTGTGACAATAATCGTAGCTACGACTGCTCGAATTAAAATTTCTCCTACGCTTGTCACATTAAAATGCCTGATTATCGCCTCCAGTCGTCAAAACGCGTAATTCTTATCACCCTCCTTCCAAGAATAAGTCAATAAGATTCAAGTAACTAAACATTATTTGTTTATGCATATGTGTTTGTTGTTATGTGCATTCCAGAATGCAGAGTGCGCATTAGTTGTCGCACGATTGGACGACACAAATGAGAGTGATGATCATTTTAGCATGCTCCAAAGAGGCAATTCACACCTATGACTTATGTGATACAAGCTACCGAAACAAATCTCGCCAAAACGAACGGCTAGTGGCATCCTGGCGACTTTCCTATGATAATGGTAGATAAGAAAATGTAACGTGAGATTTTATAGGTTCGAGTGGACAATTTGGGCGTCAAATGCTTGATTTTGTTTACTACAGCTCTCCCGTCAATTACGTTTTTCAATTCAGTAGACACTAATACCGGGATCTTAGATGGAAACCCATGCCCACTTCATTTCAAAATTTTGTTTGTACGTTTACTTGTATATAGGCTTCTGAATAAAGTACAGTCCCTAATGAATAAATAAAACAGGTAAAGAAACGATAGAAAACAACCAAATAATACATATTTTTATTAACATTAATAGAAATGTCAAAATTAATTTCGAACTTCTTATTTAAAATCTCTCTTTTACAATCACGGAAGTTTTCTGTGCTCTTGCACACAAAGCAGAAGAATTTCTTTTTGGCCTTCATCAACAGGTACCAAGCCATGAACATTTTGTATTAACTTGACTGCTCTTTCTGCTGTGTTTTACATCTTTCAAGGGTGTAATTTCACTTTTGGCCGTCAAAAAGGCTTCATTATCTTTCAATAAAGAAACTCTTTCTTTCAGAAACCTTTAGTCAATCTTCTAGTGCGGAAAGAGATTCTTGCTTTTCAAGTCATGCAAGGATTAGCGTGAAACCAGACACTAATAGATAAGTTTTATTTTAAGTAAACTATTAGTAAGTTACTAAATTATTAGTAAAAAAGGTAATTGCAATATCTTACCATTCAAAGAGTTCAATTTTCTTTTTGCGAGGGAATATATCTCTTTCCGAAATTAAATGATTTCTCACATTCTAATTTAGAAGCCATTCTCATTTTCACTTGGTCATAAACTTCATCGTTGAAAAGTGTCAAGTCAGCTACTTCATCATTCAAATACAAGTGTTGACAAAACGTGGTTAAAATTGAGCTGATTCATTACTTCATCTATAAACTTCAATTGCCCCATACCACTGGCAGATATTCGTTCCCACACGAGGATCAAACAATCGTGTTCGACGATGGGATTTGAAAACAAATCATATGGCAGTGTCTATTTTCTATTTATTGGAATTACAAGGTGCATAGAGCAGTACTATATCACTTTTACATTCAAATGAAAATGCTAACCAAATAATAAGTATTTCTGCCTGTTCATTTTACTCACCCAAAAGTTTCGTGGCTCCAGCTCTGATTTTTTTCTGCTTCCACACCAAGAATACCAAAAAATCAAGAATTTGCTTTCGTCTCAAAATACGAACTTCCTCTGAAAGCCATACTTGAAATTTACATGATTTGCTGTTAATGATAGGCATATCTACCAGTTCATATTACTCACCCCAAAACGTCTTGTGGCAATGCATCTACGGTATACATTCTGCGTCGATAATAGTCATTGTGCAGTTATACATATCGCACAGTGTAAGGCGAAACTCTTTACTATCCAGGGGATCTGCTAGTACGACCAGGACACATGTCTTTGAATTAACATGAAATGCACGAAGAATGATCCTCTCATCTTGCACTCACTTAAAACAACAGAATGAACGCTGCGATATATATTGAATAATGCTTGATTGTTACTCAAACGATTCGCAATGGCATGTACCCTTCACTTTCGTGATTTCCGTCCGTCGAGATGCCTCCCAAATCGATGCGCACTTTTTCTGTCAATGGATTACCCCTTTGCATTTTTCAATAGTAAATGTTCTCCTAGAAACCATTTCATCAAAGTTATATAAGAGAGGTCAGACTACTATA